TTACTGATTATTATAGTAATTTAATAAATATACATTAGTGATTATAATTAATAATTATTGTTGTTATAAATATTGTTAATAGTCAGATATTTATTTTAATTTTACTTTAAATTAATATTATAAATATTGTTAATAAATTTAGTAACCCGGTTTTAATAATTACTGATTATCACAGTAATTTAATAAATATATAATTAGTGATTATAATTAATAAATATTGCTATTATAAATATTGTTAATAAATAGATATTTACTTTAATTTTACTTTAAATTAAAATTATAAATACTGTTAATAAATTTAGTAATTATTGTTATATTAAAAATATTTAAAAATGTTATTAAAAGTATTGTTATTGATTATTTAATAAAATATTATAATTACTTATAAATACTGTTAATTTAATTTAATTTTAGTAATTATTAATTTAATGAATATTGTTAATAAATCCTATTCATAAATTTAATAATTACTGTTATATTAAAAATAACTAAATAATATTTTTAAAATTATCATTAATGATTATTTAATTAAATAGTATAATTACTTACTATTATTGATAAATGTTGTTAATAATGTTTTGACAACCGATGGTTCGATCGTCTGGTTCAAACGGATGGCCTGTTCTGACAACAAAAATTACAAGCAAAAAATTACGAAACCATTCTGGCCACTGGTTTTTGGGTCGACGATTCAATCATCCAGTTCGAACGGACAGTCCATTCTGACAACAAAAATTATAGGCAAAAAATTGAGTTTGTGAGGTACATTAAGTAGTATCATACGTGTTATGTCATTCGAGTGTGTGACTCATACAACCCGAAAACGGAATCGTTCTGGCCACCGATTTTTGGATCGACTGTTCGATCGTTCGGTCCGAATGAGCAGCCTATTTTGACAACAAAAAATTATGGAACTATTCTGGCCACTGGTTTTCAGGTTGATGGTTCGATCGTCCGATTCGAACGGACGACCCATTCTGACAACAAAAATTATAGGCAAAAAATTGAGTGTATGAGGTCCATTGAGCAGTATCATACATGTTATGTCATTCGAGCGTGTGACTTATACGACCTGAAAATGGAACCGTTCTGGCCACTGGTTTTTGGGTCGACGATTCAATTGTCCGATTCAAATGGGTGGCCCGTTCTGACAACAAAAATAATAAAAAAAAAGCCAAAAACCATTGAACGGGTCAACAAGTTGACAGTTCGACCACTCAGGTCAATGGGTCGTTAACCGATTCGATGATTTTTGGCTAGGGACCAGGATTGGGGTAAAACGGAACTAGTTGCCTAGATGGTTCCCAATTAAAAAAATAAAAAAATGAACGACCTATTCTGACAACAAAAATTACAAGTAAAAAAATTGAGTGTATGAGGTCCATTAAGCAGTACCATACGTGTTATGCCATTCGAGTGTGTGACTCATAGACCAAAAATAGAACCGTTCTGGCCACCGGTTTTTGGGTCAACGGTTCGACTGTTTAGTTTGAAAGGATGGCCCGTTCTAACAATTAAAATTAAAAAAAAAACCAAAAATCATTAAACGGGTCAACCGCTAGGGTCAATGGATCATTGACCGATTCAACGATTTTTGAATAGGGACTAAAATTAGGATAAAATGGAACCGATTGCCTGGATGGTTCTCGATTAAAAATAATAAAAAAATGACCAAAAACTATTAAACATGTCAACAAGTCGATGATTTGATTACTCATATCAATGGATCATTGACCAATTCAACGATTTTTTTATGAGAAACCGGATGGTCGATGATTCCATTCTAACCTTGCGAAGCGGGGCCCCTTCGCTATTAAGGGACAGAGGAGGATTCTGGTGAGGTCCATCAACCTTACCATAGAGAGAGCCTATATAATTACATGGGTTTGACTCTACGTCTCCAAGAGGAAGGACACCAATTAAAAATGATAAACTCGATCAGCTATGGGGGGGTATTGACCCTTCAATATTGGTTTACGCTGTGAAGGAATGTCAAAGGATTTCTTTTCTACCATATTATTAATTCTCAACACTCAGTTGGTACATCCGTGAAAGAGAAATGTCAATGGTATCATTAATGACTTGATATGAATCAGAGACACATTTTGGTGAGAACTCAGAACTTCCCACGGCTTACAACTTATGACGAACAAAAGTCCAGTCTACTCTAAAGTCTAAACCCCATTTTCAGGCGTCTCCATCTGCAACTAATCTTTCCCCTATTTAATAACCCCAAGGTTCAAAATATTGATACCTATTGCATCATATATCACATATTCTGTATCGGTACAGTCAAAACAATAAATATTGAGAATTAGGACATTTTGATAATTTTAAATATTAATAGTCATCTTAATATATATATATATATATATATATATATATAATATCAGTGTAAAAGTATAAATAAAAATGGTATTACTTATTGAAACCCCACATAAAAAACAAACAGTTTGGACTAAGGGCTCATCGTCTACCCCGGATTAATTAGTAGATTGGCGTATAGACTTATGGGACCAATCTGGACCATAATAAATATGGAAGCTCCCCCAAAATTCAATTAATATTTCATAATTTTTGGCACTAAGAAACGGGATCATTACTAAATTGAAACTCAAAAACTGGGGGCTAAGGAATGAAACGGTGGAGGAGGATTCTAAACACCTATTCCTCCAATGCGAGAATTCACGTCAGATTTGAACAATCCTAAGGCTCAGTTTAGAAATAATATAAATACAAATATGTAGATTGTAAAACTTGTATGTGACAAACTTGCATATATTTATACTGTACTCCTTCCCGAAGAGTGAAATATATTCCTATACCTGCATCTGAGAAGAGGAAGAGCTCGTAAACTGATGGGACCATATATGTGACAAACATGAAGGCTAGTAGGAGCACTTGTTCCCCGGAAAGAGTGAGTGTTATGTTTTGGAATAAATTTGGAAGGGGAGGAATAAGAAAATTTTCAAAAATAAATCTATACCTCTGCCTCAACTAAATCGGTGTGGTAGGAATACATGAAGACTCTCTCCCCCTCCACTCCTGGTGCGCTAGATGATATCCTTATTAAATGGAAGAAACCTGATACTCGTACTGTGAACATCAACTTTGATGCCTCTAGAAAACCTAATGGAAGGAGTGCCGTTGGTGTTATAGTGAGAGATGATTATGGAAAAACCTTGCGAGTCAGGCAGTCAGCTGCAGGGATATTGGGGAATGTACGATTCATGAAGTTGAGGCATGGACTGCCCTTGAAGCTCACAACTTTTGACTGTTGTCAAAATATTTATCAAAGTGCTCACTTTGATGTACCTACTAGATCTGGTCCCATTTTACGAAAGGTGGCTCCTCTTTGTAATTGTTTCCTTTCTATAAAAAAAAAAAAAAATCAGGACACACCATTCAATATGGGTCCCACATTAAAGCAACACTGGGTGAAATATCAGATCAAAATCTTGTGGATGGTGCTCTTTGAAAGCTTGGAATTGGAACATGATGCAGGGAATCGGTTGTCTTTGGTTTAACAAAAACAAAATCACATATATATGATTGGGGAACACCCCCTTAAAATTTAGCATTACTACAGTACGTACCGTATTACAAAGGGTACTGAATAATTGAATAGTTGTCCAAATGTAATTGCATTGTACTGGCTAATACTATATAGAAAATTTGATAAAAGTAGTTAGGTAGCAGTTAGCATTTCATTTATAAAAAAAAAAAATTAGGGAAATTTATAAAAAATGAGGTGGACTGAACAATAAAAATCTCCACAAAATTAATTACAAGGGACCTACTATACCTACTACAGAGTATCAATAAAAGACGGACCACAAAATATTATATATACTGGATCGGAGTTTTACAGCTCACTCAAAGTGACGGTGATGATGACAAAACATTATATTAATTACATGCTTAATCCATCCAGAATGCCTGAAAATACGAAGTTGAACAACTCGTGATTAGTTTTTTTTGCTTTAATCGTCTATGAACTTGTTGCTAATTCGTAACCTAAGTAGGCAAAGAAACTAAAATACCGAAAGGCCAAGTAGGAAGATCATCCACCCCACACCCAAATTTGGTTTTGGCCTCTAAGCTTGGACCATTATTTAAGTTTCTATGACTATGAGCATGAGAAAGTCCCGTAATTGGTTAAATTTAAGCTTGGACCATTATTTAAGTTTCTCTGACTACGGCGTCTGTGTAGAGTCAAAATAAAGACCCAGACTAACCCCTATTGGTCTTTGTCCTGACTTCTGGACTGAACTGCCCTTTACATGATTCCATTGTCAACGTTATGCATTCGTCCCCCTCCAATCAGATCATCAAACATACATAATTTAAAGGGATGAAACTGTGGCACCCATGTAAGACCTCGCATTCGCATTATCCTGTTGTTTCTTTCGCTCCTGAAATAGCTCCACTTTTGTTTACCAAAAAAAAGAAACATCTATAGTTTTTTCGTTTTTAAGACTGCTCGGTTTGGAAATTGAAAGGAATAAAAATACAAATATGTAGAGTGCAAATTATTTTATATGTATTTGCACTTTTGTACTCTTTTCAAACTGAGCCTAATCAACTAGAGCCCGTTTTAAGGGCAATAATCATAACACCAACAAACCACTTGCAAGTTGCAACTAGCTTATTACTGCACTTACTTTAAATAAGACATATGTATGGCAGGGCAGGGCAGGGCAGGACTAGAACAGTTACAGTACTGGCCTGGGCAGAAAAACAGTAGTCGTTAAAGATAAAAAGGTAAATTTAATTAGAATCTCCAGCCTGTGAACAGATATTCATTCATATTACAGTAATTTATCTTTCATTCTTTAATTTCCTTATGTTTTAATTTCATGGCCAGTGTTGTATAGTTTGATTTCTTTATATAAGAATTGGCATGTCTGAATAAATCGATTCCAATCCAAACTCAACAGACCAACCCAATTTCATAATCATGGAGAAGAAGAAGAAGAAGAAGAAGAGGAAGAAGAAAAGAATGCATAATGGATGATGAAACATTACTCTTAGAAGCCTACACAATTCCTAGAGGTTGTAACCCCTCCATCCACAACAAGGTTATGACCACTTACATACTTGGATTCATCACTAGCAAGGTAAAGAGCAGCCTCAGCTATATCTTTAGCCCTTAGGGTTGGACCCTTAAGGTTGGCAAGGCTTCCAACAAACTCTTCCATCTTCTCTACTTCTTCACAAGAGCCCCCAATCTCCATGCAGTCCTCCTCGTCGTCACACCTCCTCCATGCATTAAGAAGCATGGAGGTAGCTACACCAAATGGAGAAATGCAGTTCACCCTGATCCCATACCTTCCGAGTTCACATGCTGTGTTCTTCGTGAGACCGACAATGGCATGCTTTGATGCTGTATATGCGTGAGGACCGAGCCCTCCCATGACACCAGCTACGCTAGCTGTAGAGATGATACAACCGGAGCCTCTGGGAACCATCACGCGTGCAGCGTACTTCATGCCTAGTGCAACCCCCCTCACATTCACTCGCATCACTCGGTCGAATTCTTCTGCATCGAAATCAATGATGCTTTTGTGCTTCGACTGGTTTCCGAGGACCCCAGCATTGTTGAAGAGAATATCAAGCCGGCCATGCCATGAAACCGTAGAATTGATCAGGTTCTCGACATCTTCTTCTAGGCTAACATCGCAATGTATATAGGTCACACAAGGGGCTAAGGAGTTGGAAAGCGCAATCCCTATCTCATCCTCGACGTCGGCAATGACAACCTTGGCTCCATGTCTTGCAAAAAGCCTTACGGTTGCTTCTCCGATCCCTCTGGCGCCGCCGGTGACAATTGCAACTTTACCTTCCAACCTGTATACCCACAATTAGCCACAGAGAGTTAAAAAAAAAAAAAAAAGATCATGCATGATGGTGACTTTGAAATCTTACATTTAACTTCATCCTTATTCAGTCCTTTAGTAAGGACAGTCAAAGGTTATATATGTTCTTTCCTGGTCTTTCAATCTATTAAAAAAACACTAATATAAAATCAGAAGCATATACAGGGATTTGAGCTTTTTCAACAGCCGCGTGCCTATAAGAAATACAAGTCTCTGTTGAATCCTTTGGTTAGGTAAAACATTAATTCTCAGAGTCAGCTAACCGGAAAATGCAGTTTTTGGAGAAGCAGCAGGGGAACAACAAAGTTGCATCGCCAAAGCAAAGAAGTTATAGGAGAAGAGAGACGATAAGGTTCATGGTATTGATATCGATCATAGGTAGAAGGAATACAATTAATGGCATGGCCAAGTAGAGAGAGAGAGAGAGAGAGAGAGAGAGAGAGAGAGAGAGAGAGAGAGAGGAGGGGCTTACCTTCTTGGTGGGGATAGGGGGCTGTTTTCCCGACCCAAGACATGGATTCCTTGGAGGGGTTTCTCTGACATCATTTGAGCAGGCATGGTTGTTTAGATAGAACTTAGAAGCAGATATGAAATGATAGAGAAAAAAGAGATCTAAGGGGAGGGAAGTTGGGGATGCCGGGGACGTATCTATTTTATGAATCTTAATTTGAATACAAGTGAGGAATTTATAGGCGATGAAGCTCTCTCTCTTCTCCCGTGGTCTTTGTAATGCCTTGCTCACCTTCAGCCTCACTTGACTTGACCCTTAAGGCTCAGGCACATGGTCTCTTGCCTTAATTCCTAAAACTACCCTTTAATGTCTTCATATGAGAAATGTTACCTTAAAGTCAACCCAACTTGAGCAAAATCCCTAAATGATGATTGACACCCATGCATGATTCCTCGGGTTGGAGAGGAGAGTGAGTTGATGCTAGCTAGTGACTCAGTGAGTCAAGGTTTTGTTACTGGGTTTCGGTTTTGTGTTGAATTTTCGATTCTCAATCTCAAGGTGAAAAGTGAAAACCTAGAGGAGGGCAGCCAGGGTAATAATCTGACTTCTTATAACCATACCAAATACGTTCTTCACTCTACGCGATTAAAGTTGAGGTAGAGGAGTTCTACGAGTATTTGCTATCTGATACACAGATCTCGCCTTCTTATTTCCTGTTGGATTTTCTACCAAAATCTCTCCCTGATGTCCTCCTGCTCCATCCCTTCTTGAAAAAAAGACAGACCCGGCCACCAGTGGTTGATCATACAGTACTTTTGGACATTAGAGAGGTTTCTCCAAGAAAAAAAAGGTTAGGCGGCTTTCCTTTTCTCCTCACATCCAAATCTAGCTCAGAGCCTCAGTCGACGCCTTTTCTCATCACATACTAGCTACTTCTACTTGTTGTCCACTTCTTTAAACTTCAACTTCACAAGAAGACTATTCTCATTTCTCGACCCACATTATGGGATCGACAGTTCAATAGAACCAACAAAAGTATTGGTGCGTGACCGGGTTCGACACTAGGCACTCAGAAGATGAAGACGGAGAAGATCAGGGGCGGAGCCAACTATCTTGGTGGGGTCCTTGCCCCCGGATTGAAACCTAATAAAGTGGGTCTTTGGTCCCCTCAAAACTAAAATGTAAAGGATTACTCTTTAACACTCCTCCAACTCTCAAAATTTTAAATAAAAAATATTTATTTTTTTTTTAAATTGTAATAAATTCAAACCTTCTCAGTCCATTTTCTCTCAAACCCTATTTCTTCTGTTATCTATCTCATTTTCTTGTTTCAAACTTTAATTTGACACCCCAAAAGAAAATTCCTAACTCAGTCACGGGAGAAGATGCCATTAGAACGTGAAATGGTTCCAGCCGCCGGCCCTCATACCGGGGAGTAGTTAGGATTTACTGATGCATGGTGGTAGCTCTTACACGCAAAGGAATGATTACCACAACAAAAGCCCTATGTATTCTTTTATTTAATATGATGGCATTTATGTAATTATAGATAAAACAAGTCTTGTTTGACGTTGTTCCATGTGTCTACTGTATCCTGAACAGTTCAAAATTTTGGGGGATATGTGTTACATTTGGTTTAAATTTCATGATCAAGGTCCACACTTAGTTGTTCTCTCTCTCTATTTTTCTGTTGGATGAGATCGATTAGTGTTTGATCATATGGTGCCTTTCATTATATAATATAGAAAAGAAAATTGGAAAATATTTGTACACTTGAGAGAGAGAGAGAGATAGCTTGGATTTTGACCAAAGCCAGCCTATTTCAAGGGTTCAACGTTGAAGTTTCAAACGACCTCCTGAAAGTTCTGCATATGCGTTTGCTCGATAAAGGAAGATAACTTGGGTCTTGTTTGGCGTGTCTTTTTACACATGCTGTCAGTTTTTTAGAAGTTTGTTAATCTACCTTTTGGTATAAAAATCTTACTACCGAAAGTCATTGTTATGAAAAGATGCCGAAAGCCTATTTTGGGTTATTTTTGAAAGACTCTAAATAGATTATTTTGCATCTTTTTCAACTTGTCTTTGCATGAAAAGACATGTCTTTATCAAACGGTCTTCAAGCCGTTAAAATTTTGATACAAAATTTAATATCATCTTTTCACCGTAAAAACTTTCAAAAAAGACTTTGCCAAATGACCTCATAATATGAAATTCGTCAGGGTTTTTCTCTTTATTTCCTTTTGAAAACTTTTTTTAACCAAATGAAATGAATGTATGAATAAAGGACTGACTGATTTGAATTGTTTATTTGGGGGTGCTTGCATGAAAGGCAATACGATCCGAGTACGTACCTTTGTTTTCCGTGCACCCGATGACCATTGCTCATACAATTGTCCATACCCGAATAACTCAAGAAAACGTATTGATTAATCAGCCAGACTGTCCAATGTAAGGCAATATTTTTTTTAATCGACTTTTGCCTTCTTTTTTCTATCTTTTCCTTCAAATCGAACAGTCTTAAGAAGCTTTCTGTTAGATGGAAACGACCTCACATCCATAGTTTTCTATCTGAGACAAGTGAAGGAGAAAATCACCATGATTGATATCTCCTCTTCATCTTAAGTTATGGTGTATGCTATTTACAATCTGAATCTATTATCATTAAACAAAATATGGAACTCAGGAAATAGCACCAACTGAAACGGGAAGCCTCAATCACATGCACTCAGCATCCTTTCCAACCAAGTTCTGTTGTTGGGAAAATGTTTTCTTTCTAAACAGCTTGATGGGTCCATGCCCTTCAACATTTTCCACTCGGTTAATAACAATACAAATTGTTTTTATAAAAAGGTTGATTAAGTCACCAGTTGCAAATTAAACAGATTTTAAAATGCAAACTTATAGGGTAAATTTTAATTAGTGCAAAAAACAATAGGGGTGTTTAAGTAAATGACCCTACTTAATTAAAAAGCTGGATTGGAATGGACCTATCATGTTTCCTTTCCTTTTTAAAATATTTAGCCCAATTTTGTTTGTTTTTCTTTTTTTTTATGAAGTTATGTTTAGATCAGCCATTAGCCAATCCTATTTAGGAAACAAGAACGTAGTAGGATAGTGGGTTATGTAAAGGCCCGCCAGCCCAACATAAAGTACAAATGACTCACGGATGCAATAGTTTTTTATCTTCATCATTCTATCTTCTTTTGCATGTAAAGAAGAGAAAGAAAGAAATAGGAAAGAAAAAAAAAATCATAAATATATTTATGGCAAAATATATGGTGCATTTGCATCATCAAAAGTCATAATCGATTGAAAGGTGATGATAAATACATCTTATTAAATATAAAATAAAAACAAATAGATTTTAACTTAATTGGTTAAGATATGAATTTAAGATACCGCTAATATTAATATTAATGGATACACCTTTCATAGTTATCATGAGATTCATGATTGAATCCCAAACAACTCCTACAGTCCAAGAGTGGATAGCCGGGATCCTGCAACCCATCATGCACCAGTGGGATAGCCCTGAACAGAGTTTCTCAATTTTCTCAAGAAATTATTACAAAACAATTGTTGGGGAGGCACGCTCACCAATGGGGGAGGAGCTTTGCCTAAGCTAAGCCTGTGACCTAAGTACATGAGGCGCATGCCTAAACTATAAACCCATGAACCATGCACATGCTGGTACCCACTGGTATTCTGCTTGGACCTTATTTTTCTTAAGTTCCAGGTCTGAGCTGGTTTACTTATTTATGAATAATAGGCGAGAAAGAAAAACACTAGACTAGGACCAGGACATTGGGCCTCGTGTTGAGGGAGCCCAGTTGCTGACTGTTCATCAGGCCAGCCTGCTCACTAAATTCCTACTTTTTGTTTCTTTTCCTCTTAAAAAAGTAACAAATGATAAACCTGAATCAGAAAATTAAATGAGAAACACTTGAAGTTGCAAAATAAAACAAAGAAGGGAGAAAAAAATACAAAGCGCATTCCTCTTTTTCCCCTCCTTGTTGCTACAAGACATTAAACAATTATAAGAAACAATGAAATGGAACAGTGACACCACTTGACCAAAGTTTGCTATTTTGCAGGTTTAAACTTTTAAGTTGTATTTGGTTTAGAAGAAAAGGTAGGAAAGGAAAGTTTAATTACATCTGAGGAGGCTATGGTATAGGTTTTTGTTTTTTTCAGGTATCTCTTTAGAAGGACTACATAAACTGGGGGTAGCTAATCTCTAAACCCACGTGCAGGCAGGATTCGATTTCAAGTCTCTGATACAACCATCAGGAGACCTTACCAATCAACTGATTGGCACCTTGCAATGGTATTGGTTCTTTGTAGTTTGTTTTGTATAGTGTGTCTCCTCTACTGTTTTAGTTGTAATTGTCGATCGTCTCTCCAGAGAGTCCTGTATTTTGCTTCACATTCGAATGCTCTTGGCATGCAAATGGTGAAGAATAGTTCTTTGTTTGAATACATATAAACTGTTGTGGGTTGGATGGTTCAATTCATCGGGTGAAGCGATCACAACTGTAAAAAGCATGGAACCTAGTTAGATGAAAGCTATAGCTAGGTTCAGCGTGTAGATTAATGATGGTTTGAAAAACTTGTTTTTCTAGTTGGGTTTTGGATGGGTCACTATTTGGGGTTAAGGCTCAGTTTGGAAAAAATATAAATACAAATCTGTATAATATAAATACATACAAAATAAAAGGTTTTACACTATATATTTATATTTGTATTCCTTCCAAACTGAATATATAAAGTAGATGCAAATATAGAAGTCTTTTTGAAGCTGTAGAGGTTTAATAAGCATGAATGTAGAGGCTTTAAAGGTAGATAAACGAATCAGCTTTACTTAGATGGTTATTTTAGATTTGGAAGAAGTTTCTAAGGCATGAAAATCGAAAGGCTTAAAATGAAAGGTGTAAGTAAAAATTTTTCCCAAACAAAAAGCAAATAAAACTTGGAATAAAAGAGGAGAGCACAAATGTAATTAAATAATTAACGATGATCAAGAGCTATGAATACTAAACAAGTACTCTTGTCTAACTATTAAAGCCATCCATTTGGACTCATTATATATTTGCCTTGGTTGCTGTGAAATCACTTAATCTGTATACGTATAAAGATTTTTGTTTCTGTCCTTTTATCTTTCATACACACATAACAGATGCTCTTAATCCTAGAGTATTCATGAAAAATCAACACTTTAACCGTTATAATTTAATACAACAATTATTTTGTCATTCTATGCAAAGAAAATATTTAATCCATGTACATGATGTGATTATAAATAGTTTTAGATCCACCAATATCAGAATCAGCCGGTGTATAATGGAATTGTGATTATGAATTAGGTATACATTTGTCTATGTGAAACATTGCCACGACTATCCTTGAATCAATTTAATAAAGAGCTATCAATTGCTTTTATGAGAAAAGCCTTAATTTTCTCCTTTTTAACATTAAAGCTCAGTTTGAAAAGAGTACAAAATAAAATATGTACAGTATAAATATAAGGCTGTGTTTGATTGTAGTGCAAATTTATTTGCACTAATACAAATGTATGAGAGTG